AGTAGCTGGCAAAAGTGGGATCTGAACCCAGTTCACCCTGATTCTGAGGCTGGGTCTCTATCAAGTAAAGGCTGCCTCTCTATACCAGTATTTCTTTTCTTTTTTCCTTTTTTTTTTTTAGTCAACATTTTATTTAAAAATTTTGCATCACTGTTCAAATAGAGGCATTTGGGGGCAGAGCCAAGATGGCGGAGTGAAAGCAGTGACTTTCTTGAGTTCTCCCCCAAAACCTTCCAAATACCTGTAAAAAAAAATGACTCTAATCAAATAGAGGCATTTGGTGGTACAATGGATATAGCTCTGGACTTGGAGTCAGGAAGACTTGAGTTCAAATCTGGCTTCAGACACTTACTAGCTATGTGACCCTGGGCAAGTCACTTAAGTCTGTTTGTCCCAGTTTCCATAATTATAAAATGGAGATAACAGCACCTACTTCCCAGGGTTGTTGTGAGGATAAAATAAGGTATTTATAACAAACAAGCAAACAAAATACTTTAGCACAATACTTGGCATATAGTAGGCATTATCTAAATATGTTTATTCCTTTCCTTTCCCCAGCCCCATCCCATACTACAAATCACTACTAATCTATTATTTTTTTTTTGAGAGCAAATAATATTCTTCCATCTGCATTCAGACTCCATATTTCTTTCTCTGGGTGTGGATAGCAATTTCCACTGTGAGTCTTTTGGACTTGTCTTAGATTCTTGCATTGCTGTGAAGAGCCAAGTCTATCAAAGTCAGTCATCGCACAATGTGGCTGTTACTATGTACAAGGTTCTCTTGGTTCTGCTCATTTCACTCAGCATCAGTTCATGTAAGTCTTTCCAAGTTTTTTTGAAGTCCGCCTGCTCATCATTTTTTATAGCACAATAGTATTCCATTATATTCATATACCACAGCTTATTCAGCCATTCCCCAATTGATGGGCATCCCTTCAATTTCCAATTCTTTGCCATCACAAAAAGAGCTGCTATGAATATTTTTGTACATATGGGTCCTTTTCCCATTTTTATGATCTGTTTGGGATACAGACCTAGAAGTGCTACTGCTGGGTCAAAGGGTATGTACAATTTTATAGTCTTTTGGGCATAGTTTCAAATTGCTCTCCAAAATGGTTGGATCAGTTCACAACTTCACCACAATGTATTAGTGTTCAAACCAGTATTTCTTAAAGAATATTGCTAGTTTCATTGGCTGATTGAGAAGAGCATTTCACAGTACACACAGACTTTTTTTTAAACAGAAAATCCTATATTTAAAAATACACATTTACAAAAAGTTTTCAAATACAAAACCATGCCTTATTCACCACCAGATTTCTTCCATTGTACATTTATAATAGCACTTAGTTTTCATTTTATTATTGATCCATACATTAGCACTTATCTTTAGTAGAGCAGTAGAGGAAAAAAATAGTAGACCATCCTGGAAGAATGTTAATTACTTAGAATCAATGTTGTCTGATAGCTTCACGGTTTCAAGCTTCAAAGAAAAGAAAGGAAGTAGCATTCATGGTTTGTTGAGGAGGATGGGAAGGGAGAGACCAAGACAAGTCATCTAACCTTTTTGGGTCTGTTTTCTCATCTTTAAAATGAGGGGGTTGGATTAAATAGTTTCTGAGATTTCTTCCACCTCTAGATCTCTGATTGCATGGAGAGCAGAACTGCCCTGTGGACAGCCAAATCTCACAAAAGGATGAAACTAAAGTGATTGGTTTTGAAGAAGACTAACATTTAAGGCTATTAAACTCTAACAAAATTACTAAAGGATCACCACAACAATAAAAAATGGTGATCGAACATTTTCTTCTCTACAAGGTCATGGAGATTCAAAGATTTTTTTTAAATGACCAAGACCTTAAATTCTACTTGGACAGACATAATATGTACACATATAAATACAAAGTGGCAAGTAATTGGAACAAAGTACTCTAAAAATTCTGAAAAAAGAGAGAGTAGTTTTAACTGATGGGATTAAGAAAAATTTCATAGTGAAGGACTATTTGTCAAGGTTAGCTCTGATCAAGGGTCTTTAACTTTTTTGCGTCATGGCCTCCTTCAGTTGTCTGGTGAAGCCCACAGAGCCTTTCTCAGAACTACATTTTTAAATGCATAGAAGAATCTACATAGGATGACAAAGGAAACCAATTATATTGAAATATTTCTCAAAATATTTAAAAAAAAAACATTCACGGACTACAGATTAAGAACCACTGAACTAGAGGGTATATCTAGCTCAAAGACTCTGATTCCCTGATCATTAGTTCATTAGGACTGTTGTTAGGTTCTGTCCCAATGCTAAGATCTGACTAACACATAATTTCTCATGAGCACCTCTACGGCATAAAATGAGGTAAACCTGTGTATCTGTCACTTTGGGCAAAGACTTCACCACTACATAGGTTCGAATTCATGGTGAAGGTGAACCCAGCAAAAACAAACCCTGAACTTGGTCCCCAGGATTCCCCGGGCTACAGAAGCAGATAGGCACAAAAGAATGATCTCAAGGAAGTGTCATCCTCAAGTAATAGCAGCCAAATAAGTCTGTAAAAGAGTCTGACTTAGACAGGCTAGGAGGGTACTAGAATTGCTGGGCAGATGCGAGAATATTGGGGTCCTGTCCATGCCCCTTAATTGTCTGTCAAAAGCTGAGAATATGTAAAAAAATCAGCATATGAAGTGTCCTGAATCATACAAATGGCATACTCCCAGCTGTGACCAGATGTTCTCTTCTCTTTGTGTTTAATCGTATGTGTGTGTTTGTAAGTGCACATACATATATACATATACATACGAATACAAAGTCAAGTCAACAAGCATTTACAAAGTGCTTTCTAAGTGCCAGGTACAGTGTCAAGCATGTACTAGTTTTGACATAAATGGCTCTGGTTTCAAATCCTGGCTGGACTACTCAATAACTAAGTTTACTTTCTTGGGCCTCAGTTGCCCCATCCATAAAATGAAGAGGCTGGACCAGATGAGTTTTCAGGTCCTTTCCATTTTTAAATCCTATAAGCTGGTATCATTGTATATGGTAAACGAGGACACTGAGCTTCTTCTGTCTGCTTGTTTGTTTGTGTGTTTGTTTTTATATATTGGAGGCAATCAGGGTTAAGTGACTTGTCCAGAGTCACACAACTAATAAGTGTCTGAGTCTGAATTTGAACTCAGATCTTCCTGACTCTAGGCATGGTGCTCTATCTATTGAGCCATCTAGCTGCCTCTATTTTAATTTAGTATTTTATTTTTCCCCAGTTATGTGTAAAAACTATTTTTAACTTTCATTTTTAAAATGTTGAATTCCAAATTCTCTCTCTTCCTCCCTCCCCACCTCCCCTTATTGATTTCATATAGGTTATATATGTGTATTCATGCAAAACATTTCCATAATAGTCAGGACATTGAGCTTCTGCCTGCTCCCATGACAGTCTGAAAGGAATAAATGTGGATGCAGAAACCGCTAGGGTCCCTGAAGAAAACAATTCCAAGATGACTATATTTCTAGGGATGATTAACTAAAATAAACTCATGTAAAATCATTACAGAGTTCCAAGTTACATGTTATTAAGTTCTACCAAAGCTTTGGATTGTTTTTTTTGTGGGGGGGGGGGTATTGTTTTGTTTTTGGACCAAACTGTGATTTTATCAGTATAGGGAACTCCCAGTGAGGGACTTCCTCTCCCACTGCAGAGTGGCCCCTTTTCTGAAAATTTTAATCTTAGATAGTTGTTGCCTAGGGCCCTGAGAGGGCAAGAGACTTATCTAAGCCAGTATGTAGCAGAGACAGGGAACTGAATCCCAGGTTTTCCCATCTTTGAGACCAGCTCTCTATCTACCATTTCCCTACTCCAACTAAATGTTTTTTAAAAATTGTACCGATAATTTTGATTTTTATACCACCTACATTTCCCAATATTTCCTCCTGTCCTACCTTTCCCAGAGAATCATCCATTGTAACAAAATATAAAAAAGAGGAAAATTTTTTTTAGAAAAACTAACCATGTTGAAAATGGTGACAGTTACAATATTCCACCCATTGTCTCCCACCTCTGCAAAGAAGTAGGGTATGGTAGGAGCAATATTATCTAACGGTTTCCAGGTCATAGCGGTTAGGCTTACTTCTCTTAGGACCTCACCTAGTGCAAGTTAGACTAGCTTTTCCTTAAAAAGTATTGAAACAGTCCCTGAGATTTAAACATAAGGAGATAAAAGAGTTGGTAAACAAGTAGATCCATAAGCTGTCTCCTTGTTGAGTATCCTTTAAGTAAACCTCTTTTTATGACCTAAGAGTTCTTCATTTCATTCCAATATCAAACCTAAATTACCAGAGGACTGTCCTGAGTCAGGCCTGGCCCATTAGAGAAGAGAGGTGACCTCTGATATCTTTTCTTTGGTGCCATTATAATTTTACAGACTGCATTTTCCATAGTTTTGTTATTATTCTTTCCAACTACATTGTTGCAGTCACTTTGTACGTTGTTTTCCTAGTTCTGCTCAATTCACCTTGAAATCAGATTCTGTGCTTCTCTGTTTTCATGAAAGTCCTCATTTCTTATTCTCCTGCCAAATTTAAAAAGTCTAACTCTCAATTTTTTTTTCTTTTTTTGTTAAAGTGAATATTAATTATGCACTCCTGGAAATCACCTGACGATGTCAAAGGTCAGAATCGTAGGCTGCTCCTTTTTCTGGGGAGGAACTAGCTGTCCAGAGACGAGCAGTGAGGAAGAAGCAGATTAGAACTGTTTCCGGATGAGTCAGAGTGAATGCTGTTACTGCTTACTAGGACACTTTGGGGGAACTGGAAACTCACTACTTTGTGAAGCGATCTTTTCTATTTTGGGTTATACTAAGTTTTAGGAAGCACTTCCTTTTACCTTTTCCAGTTAAAAGCCAGAATTCTCAGAAGTCTAGCAGTTACCAGCTGAGGAGCATTCCTCAGCCAAGTGCTTTTACTCCAATCTCAGTAACATAGAACTCAGAAACAGCCAGACTTTCATATAAGCTTAATATAATAAAAGTAACTGCCATTTATTAATTGTTCTAAGTTCTATATTTTACAAGACCCAATGTTGAATAGTGGTTAGAGAGCCAGCTTCAGAGTCAGAAAGGTTGGGGTTAAATTTCTTTCCCTGACACATACCAAACTGTATGCCCCTTAGCATCTTTCTAACCGTTTACCCGAGCAAGTCACTTAATCTTTCCAGGACCTGAGCCAACTCCAAAAAGTTACAGAGAAGGTGTTGGTCCACATTGGTGGAGTGAATGTTCTTACCTGGGAGTTCTTTATGGCAGTACATGTTAAGTGCCTCTCTGTCTCATTTGGTCCTTTCAGTAAAGCAGGTGATATTATCCCCATTTTACAGATGTGGTGACTGAGGTTTGCAAGGGTTAAGTGGCTAGCCTGTAGCCACATAGGTAGTGTCAGAAGTTGTGTTGGAATCTAGGTCTCAGTTAACTCCAAGGCTAGTGCTCTATTATATTTATAATACTATTACTCAAACATAAACAGAATTCAAACAGAATTATTTGCATTTCCCCCAGCAATGTATCCAACCATTCAGAGGATTTTGATAACACGAGGCTCTGTTTCCGCCAAGCGAGCGACTAAACGTCACAGGTTTCTCAGTTAGTAGAACTGAAAAAGAGAAGACTTATCCTCAAGTATTTGAAAAGTTCTCATACGCTTATGGAAGATGGATTAGATATATGTCATGCCACTCCAGAGAAATGAACTAATGCTACCGGGTGGTGGATATAGAGAGGCAAGCTTTTCAGCTCACTACAAGACAGAACTTCCTGCCAATGAAAACTATCCAAAAAGAGAATAAGATGCATCACAAATTAATGAGGCTCTGATAATTACTTAAAGTAGAGGTGCAGTGACCATCTGTCATCATACTGTAAAGAAGATTCCTCATTGGTTGGACCTCTCTAGATGAACTCTGAGTTACTTCCTTGTTTGACATTATATCATTCTAAAGTTAAACAATTCTCTTTTGACGGTGGAGGGGCATCAAGTGGCACCGGGAATATAACTCTTTTCCGTAGAGTAAAAGCAGGCTGGGGCATCTGTTTCATTTTTCCTTCCACATCAGCCTGTTGGCTCACCTCATCATTGACTACTGTTAGGATGGTTAAGATGTCTTCTTGTCTGTAGCCGGAAAGAGGAGGAAAAAGCATTAGCGAGAAGGCAGAGAGCACATGTGAGGTTTTCCAAAGGAAAAGCATTGTGTTATAATAGAAAGAATAATGAATCTTGAGTCTGGAGAGACCTGGGTTCCAATCTTGACTGGGACACTTACTATGTAAGCCTGGGGAAGTCACTTCACTGAGGTTATTCTCCTATCTATAAAATGGAGATGCCCATAGTGTCCCAATCACAGAGCTGTCATGAGGCTCAAGTTAGATAATCTATGTAAAGTGCTTTGCAAACCTTAAAGAATATATAAATATCATCTATTAGTGACACGAAAGATGACACGATATAGGAGATAGAATGCTGTGTCTTAGAACCAGAAAGAGCTGGATTCCAGTCCCACCTATGACTCAACCTGAGTAAATGATGTAACCTCCCCCTGCACCAGGCAATTCTCCAAAGACTGCAAGATTGTATTCTGCACCAGGAGAGAGATCTATATTGAGAGAGGGAATTTCTTTCCTCCTCAACAACAGCAATCTGCCAGCAAACACCAATGGGGCCACAAGTCTGGGGCAAAAAATTATTAATACACGAGACTTATAACTTCAATGAGAATGTGGGCACCCGAAACCACATGAATCATTATTGTATTAAGTTTTCTTTTGGGGGAGGTGGAGGTGGAAATGGGTAGGGATTTTATTTTTAAGCCAGACCTGTGATTTCAGAAATATATGGAGTACCTAGTGAAGAAATCCCTCTACCAATACAGTCAGCACCTTAAAAAGTATTACAAGGGGCATCTAGGTGGCGCAGGGGATAGAGTACCAGCCCTGAAGTCAGGAGGACTTGAGTTCAAATAACACTTACTAGTTATGTGACCCTGGGCAAGTCACTTAACCCCAATTGCCTTTAAAAAAAAAAAGTAAAGAGTACTGCAAAGTTGTCTAGAGCAGAGGTTGACCACCATCTGGCCCACCGCTTGTTTTTGTTCCATGAGAAAGCTTCCTGGACTATGAAGACAGGCAGCAGGTAGACTGAGGCTAAGCAATTTGGCCAGGGTTACATGGCTAGTAGGTGTCAGGGACAGAGCTTGAAACTCAGTTCTTTCTCACTCTGAAGTCAGCTCTCTAACCACTACACTATGCCACCTCATAATAATGCCTCACACATAATTTTAACTTACATTATCCATTAATTCATCTGACAAATGCACTGAGCATGGGGGCAGCTAGGTGGAGCAGTGGATAGAGCATCGGCTCTGAAGTCAGAAGGACCTGAGTTCAAATCCAGCCTCAGTCCAAAACACTTGACACGTACTAGCTGTGTGACCTTGGGCAAGTCACTTAACCCCAGTTGCCTTACAAAAACAAACAAACAAAAAAAACAAAAACAAATGCACTGAGCACCTATGGGAGAGGCACAACACTAAGCCCCCAGGGGATACAAGAGTGACTCTGATATCATCCTTGCCCTCAAGGAGTATATTTAGTGGGGGTAAATAGGACATTATTATCATCACACTCCTTATAGCTTTTGTGCCAGGCACTGGGCTATGTGTTTTACAAATACTATCACATTTGATCCTCACAATGACCCTGGGAGGTAGATGCTATGATTATCCTCATTTTACAGATGAGGAACTGAGATAGACAGAGGTTAAGTGACTTGCCCAGGGACAAAGCTAGTGAGTGTCTGAGGCTGGATTTGAACTCAGGTCTTCCTGACTCCGGATCCAGTAGTCTTGGATCACTATAATGCCACACAGATGGAGTTAAGTTCGATAAGAAAAGTGCAAAAAACTTGACACTTACTAGCTGTGTGTCCCTGGGCAGGTCACTTAACCCCAACTGCCTCACTAAAAAAAAAAAAAAAAAAAAAAGTGCAAAAAAAGAGTGCTATGGGAATTGAGAAGAAAAGTAGTAATAAGGGGGCAGAGGAAGAAGAAGAAGGAAAGGTTTCCTGAAGGAGGTGAAGGAAGGATATGGTTTGGGTAAATTGATGGGGGTTGGGGGTAGAGAATTCCATACAGGAGAAAGAGGATAATCAAAGACATATGAGTGGGAAAGCATGGGATATGGTTGAGGAACTGTGAGTTTGCCTGGGGCATAAGGTTTTGAAACCATATGTGGGTAACTGGAAGGATAGTGGAGCCATTAATAGAGTTAATTAATTAACTAATAAGTTAATTAATAGAGAAATTAGGGAAAGGAGTTGATTTAGCCAAGGAAATGAGGAGGATTGGCAATTTTAGATGTGTTATATCTAAGGATCTAGTAGGAATTGTAATTTGGAACTCAAGCAAGAATACATCATCAGGACTACAGATACAGATGAGAGAATCATCTGAATAGAGGCAGATAGTTAAAACCTTGCAAATGGACGAGCTATCCAAGGAAGAGAATGGATAGAGAGAGGCACCAAGGTGAGAGCCTTGAAAATACTTATATGGGGGAGGGAGCGGCAGAAAGAGGAGCCATGATAAATTTAGAGAAAGATTAGTCAGATAGGTAGGAAAACCAGGAGCATGTAGAGTGTGTTAGGGAATCCAAGGCAGGAGTGATTATTAAGAAGGAGGAGATAGTCAACAGTGGCGCGTATTACAGAGAAATCAAGAAAGAAGGTCTAAGTGGTGAAAAAAATGATTGGATCTGGCTATTACAAGGCTATTGGCAACCTCTGAAAGCACAGTTTCAGTAGAGTAGTCTGACAGAAATCATATTCTTAGAGTATGATACTGTGGATAGGATTATCCCCATTTTATAGATTTGGAAAGTGAGACACCCAGAGATTGTGACTTGATCAAGACCATAGAACTTGACAAGAACAGACTCCTGGTCTCCCAATTCCGTTTCATCCAAAGTTCTTTGTATTGCCACAGATATCTCTATTGTTGCATAACTCAAATTTAGCTTTCTACAGGGATACTTCTTTAGCAAAGGTTGTTTATTATTCTGTTCCTGGTCACAGACATGAATGAATATTTTCATGTATCATTCTAGGTGAAAGTTGTACGCTCTATAAACTTTCTATCAATCATTCAAACAATAAGCATTAATTAATTGCCTACTACGTTGCCAGGCACTGTGCTGGGTGCCAGAGGTACAAAGATAACATAAAATAGTCACTGCCCACAAGAATCTTCCATTCTATAATGGGAATAGAACACACATTAAGCAGTCGTGGCCAGCAAAAGAGCTGTTTGGTCTAAGCCAGGGGGCCATGACCTTTTTTGCATCATGGATCCCTTTGGCAATCTGGTTAAACCTATGGACGCCTTCTCACAAAAATGTTTCGTTGCCTACGTTCATAATTGAAGGAAAAGCTAAATTTCAATTAGAGGTTAGGGAAAATTAAGATATAATTTTTCCCCATCCACAAAACCCCTGATAAAAATCCCTCAGCTAGCTGGTCACAGGGATTATGAGTAATAACAATAATAACATATTTATATAGTCCTTTAAGGTTTGCAAAGAGCTTGACAAAATATCATTTTATGTTATCCTCACAACAATCCTATAGAATTAGATGCTATTATTATCTTCATTTTACAGATAATAAACTGAGGCAGGAAGAGATTGAGTGGCTTGTCCAGGGTCACCATGGGCATTAAGTGCCTGAGGCAGGATTTGAACTTAGGTCTGGGACTGTATCAACTGTGCCTCCTACCTGCCTCTAGAGTGAGAGTTTCACCTAGAGCCACAGGGCAATAGATTGTCGCAGCCTTTCCAGTAGCAATGGCAATGATGATTTGATTATTAATCTTATGGGTGCTTATTCATTACCCATCATCTCTAGGTTACCCATTATTCTCAACCCAGAATAACAACTAACATCATCAAGCAGCCCAGGGAGAGTACCTTGGGACCAAGCGTTTCAGCTGATGGCAGAGGGCTTGAATATACCAGGAACCTTTTATTTTATTTCGAATGGCACAACAACCATCAACTGTGGCCAACCCAAGGAGGAAATCTGCTTCCTTCGGGATGCACCTCTGAGGGATTTTCTTGGGGGCAGGAGGTGAGATGTTGGCGTTTCTAGCATCTGCTTCAAGAGGCACACTTTCTTGCATATCCATGCCTTGACAGGCTTGGAGGAAAAAGAGCTTGGGCTTGTCCATCAGGCCTGGGCATCGGTGGGCCATGAAGTAGGATGTGAGGTCATAAATGGCTATGCTCTTTTCATCCGAGGAGAAAACAGAACCAGACTCCCCATGGGTAAGGACACAGCACACAAAGCAGTCGCTGTCTTTGTGCTCTGGGTTGGTTCTACACTGGGTCAGAATCCTTTCCATTTCATCTTTTGTCGTATTGTCATGAATCGTCACTGTGAATCCAAGCCACTCGAAAACACTCCTCAGTTCACCTGTTAAAAGATTTTTAGCAAAATTCCAGAATGAATCCCCCTGAAACATGAATTTTCACTCTTTATATGCACTGATAGAATCCCTACTCCCACCCAAGGGGATGGGTAGAACACTGGGCTTAGAGTTAGGAAGATGTAGATGCTAATGATAATGTATAGAGTGGCTACTTTGCACCAAGCACTATGTTGAGTACTTTACAAATATGATCTCATCCAATCCTCATATCAACCCTGGGAGACAGGTGCTGTTATTATTAGCCCCATTTCACAGGAGAGGAAGCTGAGGCAAACAGAGGTTAAGTGATTTGCTTGAGGTTCCATAGATTGTAAGTATCTGAGGCTCAATTTGAACTCGGGTCTTCCTGACTCCAGACCCAGCATTCTATCCACTTCACCACCACTAACTGCCTCAGAGTCCTGAGAGTTAGGGAGATCTGGCCCTTCCTAGCTATGTGCTACTAGGCCACTGAAGCGATTGTCAAGGACTTACACAGACATAGAGGGATATGGTGATCTCTGTTGATAGTGGGAATTCCCTGTTGTTATGGAAATCTTAGTCCAAGTGTACTTATACACATGCTTCCTATATGCCTCAACATTCTGTCACATGTGACATACAAGCAATATCTCATTAAGCGAAAAAAAACCCAATTTCCTAGCCTTTATTGTGTTGTCCAGTTGCGTCCAACTCTGTGACCCCATGGACTTTTTCTATGGGGTTTTCTTGGCAAAGATACTGGAGTGGTTTGCCATTTCCTTCTCCAATGTGTCCCCATTTTACAGATGAGGAACTGAGGCAAATCGAAGGTTAAATGACTCGCCCAGGGTCACACAGCTACTACGTGTCTGAGGCTGGATTTGAACTCAGGTCTTCCTGACTCCAGGCCCGAAGTCAATCTATTGCACAGCCTAGCTGCCCCTCTCCTTTATACTGTCACACTAACATTTCATAGATTAGAGCTATAAAAGAAGCCCGGAGGATTCAGTGACTTTCTCAAAGTCACATTTAACTGAAAACCTCTGGGAGGCATCATGGCATTGTGCTGATAAAGTGTCAGACTTAGAGTCAGAAGAGCAGGGTTCCAATCTTACCTCTGCTACTTAATGAGTCGTGACCATGGGGAAGCCACCTTAAATTTATCAAGCCTCAATTTCCAGCTCTGTAAAATAGGCATCACAGTTCCTGTCTCATGAAAGTTGTGGTGAGGCCCAAATGAGGTGATGTAGGTGAGAACTTTAAAGTAACGTATAAGGACCAGTCATTATTATAAAATACAGGGGTAGCTAAGTGGCAAGGTGGATGGAGCACTGGCCCTGGAGTCAGGAGGACCTGAGTTCAAATCCAACCTCTGACACTTGACTCCTACTAGCTGTGTGACCTTGGGCAAGTCACTTAACCCCAGAAAGAAAATGTGGAACGTAAAAGGTAATTTCCTTGAGAACAAGGATGGTTTTGATTTTTTAAAATTCTGTATCCCTTTTTTATCACAGTGCCTGGCACATAGCAGACCTGTATATTGAATGGAATTGTTGAAATTAAACAAACAAAAAAAACCCCTTTTTGAAATCCATTGGCTTCCATTCGATCAACACCACCCAGATTCCTTACCTGCATCTTTACAACTTCCTTCCCTGAAGCCCATGGTCAGAAATTGAAAGTTGTTGAAAATGATGCAGTGACCTCTGTGTCTATGACCCATCATATATTGTTCTGCCTCCTCAAGAGAAGAAACAAAGCAGAGCATTACAGAAATCCACACTCCCATTAAAGGTACCATCATGCAGTTCCTAAACACCCCCCTTGTGGTTCATGCACCTTTGTGGGGAAGGGGAAACTGGGACAAGAGAGAAGGAGGGGGAGGGCAGCAGTTCCCCATCACAATTTTAAAATTTCCCTAGCCTAAGCCTTTGACCAAATCATGGCTGTTAGGTTTCTAAGACCTAATGAAGATGACCAGAGATTAAAACAGCTCTTTACAATCTATCCTAATGATAAAACATTACCAGGTCATCTAAAAATGATTCTAAAGTACCTCAGGACAGGATTTTTAACCAGGGCTCTGTGAACTTGATTTGTTGTTTGTTTGTTTTTTTAAACATTTTGATCACTATATTTCAATATAAATGATTTCCTTTGTAATTCAATGAATTTTGTTTTAGTCACTGAAAAATATTATTCTGAGAAGGGGTCCATAGATTCCACCAGACTGCCAAAAAGGTCCATGGCACAAACAAGGTTAAGAACCATTGCCTTCAGACCTAGAATCCCGAATGATAAGAATTCAGTTTTACTAAATGTCACTTCCACTTTCTCTTGGCAATTTCAAATTTTATAGGGTACTCCTTCCCTTCTGCTGTACTTGAAAAATCCTGTGATTTCATCTGTGGGCACTACCTCCCTTGTTCAAGGTCAAGGGGTCCCTTGACTCCCCCAAGACTAGGACATTGCATGTATTGAAGCAAAAAATGTAATGCTCAGTTCTTCTAAAGATATAAAACTTCCCCGGAGAACTACTTTCGCTGCATCCCATAAGTTTTGGTATGTTGTCTCATCATTGTCATTCTCTTGAATGAAGTTATTGATTGTTTCTATGGTTTGTTGTTTAACCCAATCATTTTTTAGGATTAGATTATTTAGTTTCCAGTTATTTTTTAGTCTATCTTTCCATGAATGCTCAGTTCAAAATCAGAGAGTATAAATAGTCCAGAGAGCTGGAGGAATTCTTTATAAATGTAGTAGTGGTCTGACCATTTGCAAAGTGCCCCAGATGGAGGAGGCTAGGAAGCCTGACTCCTAAAGAATCGCAATGATTCACTTACTTCCTTATCCAGCCCTACAAGGGAGAGACAGAGAGGTCCTATAACTCTTTTCCTCAAAGCGAGAAAGGTCCCATGTACATCAAAATATTTGTAGCAACATTTTTTTTATGATAAAGATTAAAACAAAATGAGTGCTCTCTGCCTGCAGAAGAGCTAAACAATTTGTGGTATACAAGTGTAATGGAATATTATTGTGTTGTAAGAAACAATGAAATGAAGAATTCAGGCAAATTCAGAAGACTCATATGAACTGATTCAGAGTGAAGTATACAGAACCAGGAGAAAATACACACAATGACCACAATGTAAGAAAAAACGTTGAAAGACATAGAAACTCTGATCAACACCATAATTGGCATGCCTCCTCCTCTCAATAGCTAAGTAGCAAATTATAGAAGTGGAATGAAGTATATGTCCACATAGGGCAGCCAGGTGGTGCAATGGATAGAGAGCTGGGCTTGGACTCTGAATTCAAATCCAACCTCAGACACTTACTGGCTGTGTGAACCCAGCCAAGTCACATAACCCTGTTTGCCTCAGTTTCCTCATCTGTAAAGTGAGCTGGAGAAGGAAATGGCAAACTACTCCAGTATTTATGCCAAGAAAACCCCAAATGAGGTAACAAAGAGTTAGACATAATTGAAAAAATGACTGAACAACAGCACACATGACTCATGTGTTGACCCATTTTGCTTAACTGACCTTTGTTACAAGGGAGGGTTTTGCTAGAGTAACAGAGGCCAAGGAGAATCATTTGGAATCGTCAGCAATGATTTTCTTTTTAAAGAAACATCAATAAAACTTTTTTTTTAAACCAGACCATTGATTTAATAAGATTCAAGAGATATAGTGAGAGACTCCTTCTACCAATGCAGATGGGCATCTATTCTGCAATTTATAGTCTCAGAGACTTACCTGGGTCACCAAGTGATTAAGGGCCTTGCCCAGAGTCACACAATCAGTACATGAACCCAGATCTTTTTTAATCTGAGGCCAACTTTCCATCTGCTACCACATGCTCCCTCCGTGTAAATTAATTTAAATTGTTAAAAGAAATAGCAAAGGAGGGTAGCTAGGTGGCACAGTGGATAAAGCACCAGCCCTGGAGTCAGGAGGACCTGAGTTCAAATTCAACCTCAGACACTAACTAGCTGTGTGACCACTGGGCAAATCACTTAACCCTGATTGCCTCAAAAAAAGAAAAGAAAAGAAAAGAAAAGAAAAGAAAAGAAAAGAAAAGAAAAGAAAAGAAAAGAAAAAAAAAGAAAAAAAAAAGAAAGAAACAGGAAAGGGCCACGTTCATGTTTCCACTCCCTGATATTATGTGGTAAGTCATCAGCTCCAGGGGTCACATTTGTGACCCTCTGTCCTCCAACAAGTGGCACTTGCCAGTAATTCCTCTTCTTCTCTCTAGAAGGTCACGTTCTAAGATCCTCTCCTCTCTATGGGAAGAAAGAGCTACCTTATTAGAAAAGCAGATGCCCAAACCCTCAAGCATGGGTTTGCTGGAGAAGCAAATCACCAGTTAGTAGTGTTGTTCAGAAATCCCCCTTCCCTCTCCAAGAGGCTAGGATCTGGGAACTCCCATTACTTGACCACATTTCCCATCTCCTAGTACCCTATGATTAGGAACATGTGCTTTTGCAACATGGGTTGACTACCGCTTCTCCAAGTGACTCACTCCACTAGATCTATAAAATTCAGAATGAATTAAAGTGGTCATGTATATAGCTCACTAGAGTACAAGTATAGTATACTATATATATACTATGATATAGTATAACATGACATAACATAACCTAATACAGAATAATATATTATATTATATATTATACAGCTATAATATAGCTATATGAGGTATATAAGTAAGAGATGAAATATCAGTAAGATCACTGCCCTTAAAATCACAGGGCCTCTCTGTGACCACTTGAGTGACCTTGAGTAAGGTCACTGAAATTCCAGGCCAGGAATTTTTCAGGAGCATTGACTGAGATTCTAAGGGGCAAGCTTCCAGCCTCTCCCTGAAGCACTGGTTTCTTTCCTTTGAGTTGGAAGCCAATCTTAATAGAGTCACATTTTGGGGCATTTAGGTGACGCAGTAGATAGAGCTCTGGCCTTGGAGTCAGGAGGACCTGAGTTCAAATCGGGCCTCAGACACTTGGCACTTACTAGCTGTGTGACCCTGGGCAAGTCACTTAACCCCGATTGCCTCACCAAAAAAAAAAAAAAAAAAAGGAGAGAGTCACATTTGCCCGAAAGGTCTGGCCCCACTCTCATTGCAGTCTGTCTTCTGGGCCTGTTGTCCCTATGGCTCTGCGGCAGCCAACAGATCATCCATGGCCTGGGGAAGGAAAAGTTAAATTGATCCGGCCCACCTGTCCTTGCCCCTGGGCAGGGCTAGAGGGCAGCATGAGAAAAAAGGCACGACTCAGACAGCAGTGCCAGGAATAGAGGTGAGAACATGTCTGTAATATAGAGTTATAGTCCAAGAAACACACATCTGCTGATTTTCCAAGAAAAAGAATCATGGGCTGATCATTCAGGCGTGGCAATGAGTTCAGTATCTGGTCAACAAATAATATAATAATAATAGCTAACATTTATATAGCACCTACTGTATGCTGGGGACTGTGCTAAGCACATTGCAATTACTATCTCATTTGACCCTTATAACAACCCTGGGAGGTAGATGCTATTATTATCCCCATTTTATAGATGAGGAAACTGAATCATACAGAGGTTAAGTGACTTGCCCAGGATCACACAGCTAAATGTCAGAGGCTGGATTTGAACTAGGGTTTTCCTGATTCCAGGCCCAGTACTCTGTCCACTATGCCATCTAACTGCCCTAAGACAGCCAAGAAGGACTGTAATTCAGAAGCATCTAGGTAATACAGCAACAGACAGATAATTCAGTCATGCCAATGATGTCAGAAAGAACTTGAGACAGCAGGTTTCACCTAGAAGGAAAAGGACTTCAGTAAGAAGATAATTTAAATACAGGTTCAAAGGCAAGGACTGCTGAGTGCCCTCATCTAAGAAGCGATTCATTTCATTCTGTTTGCTGAAGTGTGGGGTTCCTACTCTTTTAAGATGGAGAACCTAACTTGGTCTATACCTACCCTTTTTTGTTTGTTTGTTTGTTGAACTAGATTCATTTTTGATGGCATAAGAAACAAGCAAGGCGAAAAAAAAAATGTGGATGGGGTAACAACTCCTTCCCCTTCTGGAAAACACAATTCTCATCGGGCTTTTAAAGTCCTGGCCCTTCCTAACTCCCCAGTCTTCTTATACTAGGTAACTAGTGGTGCAGTGGATAGAGCCTTGGGCCTAGAGTCAGGAAGGCTCATCTTCCTGAGTTCAAATCTGTCTTCAGACACTTACTAGCTTTATGACCCTAGGCAAGTCACTTAACCCCGTTTGCCTCAGTTTCCTCATCTGTAAAATGAGCTGGAGAAGGAAATGGCAAATTACTGCAGTATCTTTGCCAAGAAAATTCCAAAATGGGGTCATAAAGAGTCAGACATGACTGAACACTTTATTCCCCTCTGTGTACTCTCAAAATTCAGCAACACTGGCTTTCGTGTTGTTTCTCATCCCATCTACCAACTCTGTATATTTTCAATGGCCGCTCCCCACACCTGGAATGCTCTGCCCCCTTATCTTTATCTCCTGGCTTCCTCTGTTTTTTTTCAAGTCTCAGCTAAAATCCCATATTCTGCAAGAAGCTCTCCCAAACCCCCTTAATGCTAATACCTTCCCTCTGAAATTATTGCCAATTTACCACCTATAACCTTGTCTGTACATAGCTGCTTGCATATTTCCCTCATTAGATTATGAGTTCCTTGAGGGCACCTTTGCCTTTATTTGTATACCCTTACACTTAGCATAGTGCCTGGCACATAGTAGGCACTTAATCAATGCTTGGTGACTTGCCTAGGAAGACAGCCCATGTCCTACTGAAGGTTCAGTGCTATCAAAGGCAATCAGCATCTTTTCCTCATTCATTTCAGAAGAGGGATGGGAAAGTTAGAATTAGTTCATGAGTTGAAAACGTAAGAGAGTGCATGCACAAATCAGTATCAAGACCTCAGAATCATTGATGACTAAATCAGAAAAGTATTTAAGAAAGTATTCAAACCTCTGTGCTCTCTTTAGCAAATGCCTTCTGCGAGCTCTCAGCAGTGCCTGATGCAACACTTAACTTTTTCTCCTCTAGAAAACAAAGAATACAAATTTGTGAATCTTTAATTACTTTTTCCTGAATGGCACTAAAAGTACATTCCATATGAAATGCTTCCATTTCCCTGTTGGCTTTTGGGTTTGGTGTCTGGTGAGGCAGATAGGTGGCACCATAGTGTGCAGAGCTTTGGGCCCTGGAGTCAGGAAGACTTGAGTTCAAATTCAGCTTCAGACACCTACTAATTGTATGACGCTGGGAAAGTCTCTTAATCTCTGTCTCAGTTTCCTGAATTTAAAATGAGAATAAAAATGGCACCTCCCTCTCAACAAGGGTTGTTGTGAGGATAAAATGGGGTAACATTTATTAAACCCTTTGAAAACCTTAAAGCGTAATTACTTTGTTGTTCAATCATTTCAATTCATATCCAACTCTTTGTGACCCCATTTGAGATTTTCTTGGCAAAGATACTAAAGAGGGTCGTCATTTCCTCCTCCAGCTTATTTTATGGATGAGGAAACTGAGGCAAACAGGTTTGAGTGATTGCCCAGGGTCACACAGCTAGTAAGTGTTTGAGGCCAGATTTGAACTCAGGAAGATGAGACTTCTTGACCTAGATCTGGGACTTCACCACCTATTTGCCCTACTAGCTATTATTATTATTTTATTCATTTAATAAGAATTTGCTTAAAGCATATTATGCTTCATGCATATAAAGTTTTATAATTAAGAATAACTTTTTTCTATACAGGCAACTTCAGGCACTTTACATCAATAAACTCAGGACTTTATACAATATAGCAGATACTCCCCACCCTGATAGGACAGACAGGTGCCAAGTATACCCCTTTTATCACAACCAGCGTTAGAAATAAATACTTCTACCATAGCCATTAGCAGACGTTTTTTTGCCCACAGGAAGAGCAGCATAAAATACATTTGATAGCTTCTTATTAAATGATTCTAACTAATTTTTAACTAATAATAAATAGGTATTAAATTCAGTTATTTCTATGTATTTTGAAGGAGCAGAGGTATTGTCAGCACCCTGGAACAAAACTCTGATGACTCAGCCCTCTTAATGGATTTGGTCATTATGACAAGTCAGACAGAGCATTCAAATAGATATGGGGCCCTAGAATTCAAAATATAGTCCTGTCTTTCTGCTCTAATGGGAAGCCAGCTCTTTCAGAGTCTGCACTTACTCCTTATCTGACCAAAAGATCAATGAGAAAAGGGGTGGGGAAGGCAGCTCAAAAGCGGAGGAGTGGAAGGATAAAAGATGGAAGGGTAAAGAGGGGCGGTAGAGGGAGGCCAAGATGGTGGAATTATAGGAAACAGAAAAGAAACACAAGGAAACACAAGATTCCTCCAAACACGTCTAGAAAATGCACCAGCCTGAATCCTGATGGGGAAACCCAGAAAACCTCACAGGGAGTGCTTTGTCCTGTCCAGGTTAGCACAGGGAGACAAAAGGGGAGATCTTGGCACACTGGGGATGAGTAGGATCAGGTTGGTTCGGGAACACACAAGTCCAGGGAGAAGTTGTGCACCAAAAAGAGGTCCATCAGACACATGATACTCACTAGCTATGTGACCCTGGGCAAGTCCCTTAACCCTGACCTCTTCCAAAAAAGAAAAAGAGAACCCCGTGGATGAAGAATAAGACATTACTGAACAACAACAACAACCCAGTTCAAGTCATAGCTCCAGAACAGACTGAGAAGGGGCCCTGACTAACCATGGGGGTGGGGGATGAGTTAGTGGTGACCTTCAGAGTAGGGAGGCTCTGGGCTATGTATAGTCAAAGGAGGAAGTTCAGAAGCCAACAGCTGCGGCAGCAGCTTCCCGCAGCAGCGTGACTCAGACCTCAGGCTCGAAGCAGGGTTTTCACTTCCAGCGTTTAGACTGACCAGCCTGCGGCAGAATATCCAGGGCAGGAATCCCAGACCAAAAGGGAGTCTACAATCTGCCGCATGGAACCAACGGAGTTTCTCGGTCGGTGCGTAGGGTCAGTCTAGCAGCGTGGTGCTCAGAACCAAACCCAGGTCAGGAACTCGCAGAGCTCAAACCAAGTGGACAACATTCAGATTTGCCTAGGATCAGACGACTTGGGGAGCACTGAAAGCGTGCGGATCACCAGCCTATTCCTCATATCCAGAATAACACAAATACCTTAAGAAAGCAGCGACAAGACCAGCACAGGCCTTCCCTCCAGAACCGCCCCAGGGTCCAGCCCTAGTCAAGTCCAAAGTCAAGAAATAGTCTGGAAGAATGGCAAACAAATAAAGAACCCTACCAGAATCATCATCGCTAGCATGTATATCATGCTTACTATATGCCAGGAACTGTGCTAAGTGCTTTATAAATATTATTTCAATTGTTCCTCACAACAACCCTGGAAAAAGTAGGTGCTATTATTATCCCCATTTTACAGCTGAAAACAAAGGCCAAGAAAGTTTAAGTGACTTTCCCAAGGTCACACAGTCAGTAGGTGTCTGAGGCAAATTTGAACTCAGGTCTTCCTAACACAAAGCCCAATGCTCTAGCTACTGAGCCACTTGGCTGCCCTCCAAAAAGAGCTATCATGATGTCAGGGAAGCTCAAGACACAAATCCAGAAGAAGAGAATGACTCCAAAACATCTACAAGCTAAGGGCAAAGCCTTGGAGAAAAGAACAGCTTTGGGTACAAACTCAGAATGCCTGGAAGAGACACAAAAGTTAAAAAAGAGTTTTAGAGTGTTTTTATAAACAGAATGAGAATGCCTGAGGGAAAAATGGGGAGGCGGGGTATTAGAGAAAGAGGAATTAACAGCTTGGCATGAAAAGTACAAAACTTTGCTCAAATAACAAACTCCCTGAAAATGTGAATGGACCAAATAGAAGCCAATGACCCCATGAGGCAACAAGAAATATTAAAGTGAAAAGACTGGTATAATAGAAGAAAATTAAGGTATCTCATAGTAAAAATGATTTAGAGAACAGATCAAGGAGAAAAAAATGTAAGAATCATTGGACTATCTGAATTTTAAGAAATCTTTTTAAAGATTTTATTTTATTTTAAATCTTAAAAGACAACTGCCCAGATCTCTTAGACCTAAAGGGCAAATAGCAGAAATAAAAAGATGCCACTGGTCACTTCCTGAAAGAAAACTCAAATGAAAACTCCCAGCAGCAATATAGTCAAAATCAAGAGTTTCCAGATCAACTCAAAATACTGCAAGGAACCAAAAAAAAAAAGAAAGAATTCAAGAATTCAAGTACTGAGGAGTCACAGTCAGGATCACACAAGATTTAGTAGCCACCATTATAAAGAAATGGAGAGCTTGGAATATGGATATTCTTGGAATGTGATATTCTAGAAGTCAAAGGATATTGGCCAATAACTTACTCACCAAAACTCAGTGTAATACTACAGAGGAAAAAATAAATTATTTTTAATGAAATAGAGGATTTCCAAGCATTCCTAATAAAAATAACAGAGCTGCATAGAGAACTTTGAAGTTCAAACAGAGGATTTAAGAGAAATGTAAAAAGGTAAACATAACTGCACAATGATAAAGGACTAGACAAGGATAAATTACTTATTTTCAAATATGGGAATATGATACATGTGTCCCTTCTGAAACCTAACATCATCAGGAGTAACAAAGGGAGTCCAATTAGACAAGGCCTGGCAAGAATTCTGGTTTGTCTCAAGAATCTCAAGAAAAGAATGGAAAAAGAGGGCAGCTAGGTGGCACAATGGATAGAGTACTGGCCCTGGAGTCAGGAAGACCTGAGTTCAAATCCGGTCTCAGACATTTAGTAGCCTTGTGACTCTGGGCAACTCACTTAACCTCGATTGCCTCCTCCCCCCAGATAAAAAAAGAAAAGAATGGAAAGAGATGGGATGAGGAATATACTAGTCAGGGTGGGTGGAGGAGAGGGAAAGAAAGGTTAGGGAAAATTGTCTCACATAATCAGTGTACACAAATAGATATCCATACAATTGAGGAGGAGGGAGTAGAGGAGAGAGGCTAACACTTAAACAATGCTTTCATCTGAACTGGCCAAAAAAGGGAAGACTATAATATTTTAAAAAAGGGAAGAATACACACAGAGAATTGGATACAGAAATACATTTCACCCAACAGAAAAATAGGAGGGAAAGGGAAGAGGAAGGAAGGGGTAATTAGAGGGAGAGTAAGTTAAGGAAGGAATTAGTCCTAAGCAAAACAAACTCTATGTATAAAAATATTTATAACTCTTTTTGAAGCAGCAAAGAATAGGAATCTGGGGGAGGGGTGTTGCCCATAAACTGGGGAATCAATGAATAAGTTATGGCATCCAAATGTGATGGAATAATACTGTGTTGAAATCTTCTCAGTGATTTCAGAGGACTAATGATGAAACATGTTACCAAGGTTCTGACACAAAGGTAAGGGACTCAGAATGCAGAATGATACTTTTTTTTTTTTTAACACAGCCAGTATACAAAGTTATTTTGATGGACAATACATGTATGAAATGAGTTTTGTTTTGCTTATGTTCTCAATTAGCAGAAAGAATTGGGGCAGGAAGGTGAAAAGGTGGATTTTGGCTAATTAAAACAAAATTTTTTTTTTAAAGTGAAAAATTTTTAGAAAAGTCAATACTAGAACAGTTTGTGGAATAATGGGGTCAGGGGAAGGAGTCAGAGGCCACAACTTAAAAATAAAATTTTAATTAAAAAAAAATCCTCCCTAGTTCAGAATGAAACTTAGTTTAGTTAAGGGACCTTGTGCCTTTGACAAGGGTGGTTCTGGTACATGCCCCTCCAACAGGTTCTCAGACTCCTCTGTAAAAGAACATAGAAAAGAAATCAAATGGTTATTTGCATCAAATGAGAGTAACATAAAACTGTTATTTAGAGCTTCTGCTAAGTTTTAGCTACCTAGTTGGTAGCTTTAACCAGTTGTATCTCATGTGTTCAGAACTTTTTTTCTCTCCTTCAGTAAAATTAACCATTTTGCTGCCACATATTTCTAGCAGAATTATCTTTATTTCTCCCACAACACAATGCTTTACACAAAGTAGGAGTTTATGGCATGAATGATAATTTAATGAATGAATGAATTAGTGAACAAATGAAAATCATAGTTTTGTACATGCATGACCTCAGAATGCTACAAATACCACCACTACTGACTTCCTCATTCTTCCCTTTCTCCTCTCTGAAGACAGCAAGCTTTTCAAAGAATGATGAAGGAGAAGCTATGAGTTCATTTAGATTATCCAGCTGGCTGATTGATAATGGAATCAGTATTGTGGTGGGAAGAACAGGGTAATGGGGACTCATGAGCCATAGCACTAGAAAAGATGTTCCAATCCCAGCCCTAAGGAGACATAATAGTCACCCCAACTTGTCGGTCCGAGTGGTAATGGGGATAAGCACCTTAGGATATGTGTTACATACCAATTAAGCATTACGTTCACAGGATCAGAGATTTTAAACAGGAAAGAACCCTAGGAGTCAGGAAGTACAACCTCCTCAATTTACAGATGGAGAAACTGAAGCCCAGGTAAATGACATGATTTGCCCAGGGTCACAAAGAGTGTGTATGTTTGAGGAAGGGTTTAAATCCAGGTCAGAGTACAGGCTCTTTGGATATAGATGCTGACCTATGTTTTCAACACTGCCTCTCCTCCTAGCTTATTTCAAAGGGTGTTAACCAAGTTTTTTAGATGAGACTTACAATTCATTTGACTTTTAACTTTAGAGTTTGACACCACCCTTATTTGATTTATTAAAAGATTAAAATACTTTGGGTGGAGGGTAAAAGCTTTCAGATGTCAACTTTCTGATGATTCTTCTTCCCTCTCCCTCCCTCCTTCCCTGTTTTGGGAACATATGGAGAAAGGAACTCAGAGGAAAACAATTTTGTGGCAAGTGCCAAAGGCATATTTTTATTCTTGGCTATGTTATCTAATTATGTTGCAATAGCAGGAAATAAAGTTGTACAGTTAGTCAAGATAGATCTCCCCACTAGAAAAGATAGTTTGGAAGGAAGTGAATCTGAGGTCCATATAGGTAGAAATCAAGAAAACTGGAGACTGAATTTGGAATTGTGGGGATGTCCCCTAAGTTCAATCAATAATTGACCAGCATTTATTAAGTAGCTAGTATGTACCAGACACAGTATTGCCATTCCCTATTCATATATCCTCTGGCACTTCATTCCTTGCACCTCAATTTTCTCAAATATAAAATTCCTCTTAAGTTCTATGACCCTCTTCATAAAACCAACTCTTAGTTTTATTTATTAATTCAATGGGGTTTTTTATTCTCAATTTCATTAATCTCACCTTTAATTTTTAAGATGTACAGTTCAGTGTTTAATTGGGGATTTTTAATTTGTCCTTTTTCTAGTTTTTTTTTAATTGCATACCAAATTCATTAGTCTTCTCTTTCTCTATTTTATTGATGTAAGCATTTAGAGATATAAATTTTCCTCTAATCACTGCTTTTGCTGTATTCCATAGGTTTTGATATGTTGTCTCATTATTGTCATTCTCTTTAATGAAATTATTAATTGTTTCTATGATTTGTTTTTGTTTGTTTTTGGGGTTTTTTTTGCTAGGCAATGGGGTTAAGTGACTTGCCCAGGGTCACACAGCTAGTGTCAAATGTCTGAGGCTGGATTTGAACCCAGGTCCTCCTGACTCCAGGGAAAACACTCTATCCACTGCACCACCCAGCTGCCCCCTATGATTTGTTTTTTAACCCATTCATTGCTTAAGATTAGGTTGTTTAATCTCCACTTAGTTTTTAATCTGTTTCCTTGGTCCCTTATTAAATATAATTTTATTGTATTATGACCTGAAAAAAATACTTTTAATATTTCTGCTTTTAATTATAAAGTTTTTGTGTACTAATATATGGTCAGTCTTTGTAAAGGTGCCATGAACCACTGAGGAAAAAGGTGTATTCCTTTCTATTTCCATCCAATTCTCTCCATATATCTATCACATCTAGTTTTTCTAAAATTCTATTCACTTCCTTAACTTCTTTCTTATTTATTTTTTGGTTAGATTTATCCAGTTCTGAGAGGGGAAGATTTAAGTCCCTTATTATTATAGTACTACTATCTATCTCCACCTGTAATTCACTTTACTTTTCTTTTAAAAAATTTAGATGCTATAGTATTTAGTGTACATAGGTTTCATATTGATATTGCTTCATTGTCTATGGAACCTTTTATCAAAATGTAGTTACCCTATTTATCTCTTTCAATTAAGTCTATTTTAGCCATAACTTTTTCTGAGGTCATAATTGCTACCTCTGCCTTTTTTGCATCAGCTGAAGCATAATAAATTCTATTCCAACCCTCCATTTTAACTCTGTATCTCTCATTCTTAAATGTGTTTCTTGTAAGCAACATATTGTTGGATTCTGATTTTTAATCCATCCTGCAATCTATTTCTGTATTATTGTTGAGTTCATCCCATCCACATTCAAAGTTATAATTACTATTTGTGAATTTCCCTCTCTCGTTTTTGCTCACTTTTTTATTTATAAATAAAAATAGGAATTGGTTTTATGGAAAAAATAAATAATATAAATAAACAATTGGTTAATTTGATTTTTTAAAAAAGAGATAGAACCAAATACCTAGTATCAAAAATGAAAAAGGTATACATACCACTAATGAAGATAAAATTTAAGCAATTATAAGGGTTAATTTTGCCTAATTATATGCCAATAAATTTAACAATTTAAGTGAAATGGAAGAATATTTACAAAAATAAGAATTGCCTAGATTAGCAGAAGAGGAAATGGAATATCTGAATAGATCTATTTTAGAAAAAGAAATTGAACAAGCCATAAATGAGCTTCTTAAGAGAAAAGCACCAGGATCAGATGGATTTACAAGTGAATTCTATCAAACATTTAAAGATTAACTAATTCCAATATTAAATAAATTATTTGAATAATAGGTTAAAATAGGATTCTACCAAACTCCTTTTATGAAACAAATAACACTGATACCTAAACTAGGAAGAGGAAAAACAGAGAAAGGAAATTATAGACTAATTTCATTAATGAATATGAATGCAAAAATCCTAAATAAAATCCTAGCTAAAAGATTTCAACAATATGTTACAAAGATTATACATTATGATCAAGTGAGATTTATACCAGGAATGCAGGGATGGTTTAACATAAGGAAAACTATTAACATAATTAATTACATCAATAATAAAAGTTTTAAAAATATATCAACAAATGCAGAAAAAGCTTTTAATAAATTTCAACAATCATTTCTATTAAAAAAGCACTAGAAAGCATAGGAATAAATGGATTTTCCTTAAATTGATAAAAAGCATTAATTTAAAACCATCAGCAAGCATTATTTGTAATGGGGATAAACTAGAAGCCTTCTCAGTAAGATCAGGTGTGAAATGAGGATGCCCACTGTCACCAATATTATTCAATATTGTACTGAAAATCCTAACAATAGCAATAAGAGGAGTTCTATGACCCTCTGAATACAAAAGTCTTGGTTCTCAGGTTACCTACAATGCAGCATAAAATATCACCCACAACACTGCTCACTACTTAGAATACACCCATGGTCTGGTACAAGCTCAAGTGTAGGTGACTTACTTTTTTCATTTTTGTATTGGTTGATCCTTTTTGTGAGATTGCTTGACAAAGGCTGGCACACTTTCACCAGCATCTCCAGATTATTCTCACTTAAAAGTTCTTGTTTCTCCATATGTCTCAAAAGACTTAAAAAGGACTGAAACAGAATCAACATTAGTATATGGACTTACATCATGGTCTATCTTTATCTTGGCTACTTTGTTCACAAGCATGTGGGGAAAAGGTATGGGGAAGTGCCTCACAACCATGCTAAGAATTTTTAAGTCATGCTTCCCAGGCACACCACGAAGCAAACAGGAAAAGCAGAATGGGAGAGGATGGCAGAAGGTAGGCAGAAGGTTGAAGTAGTGGAGACCATAGAAAGTGTTAGCACAATCAGGGAGGCCATGTAGCTCCCCTGAGTGAATGCTGCTGTCTTTGCCACTCTGATAGCATACATAGGCAGCGGATAAAAACAAGGACAGCTAAAACCTCTGTGTTGGTTTTATTTTTTTTAGGCTGGCTTATACATTACATTGCTGTTTGCAGAGCAAGTTTTTTTTTTTGTTTGTTTTGTTTTTTTGGAAAGAGGGAAAGAGAGGAAGAAAGCAGGTAAGAAGCCTTTGCAGTGGAATCCCATGAATAGACAGCCTACACAAGTAGAAAGAGAAATGGTAAAGAGTAAGAAAAACGGTCAATTTCCCCACTCACCGTTAATGGTTTTGGTATATCCTTATGCATGAGGAATTTGATATACTCAAAATCATCTTTAGTGACTTCCTCAGATAGGTTGTAAAGCATGACTCTGTGACATGAATTCAATGCCATTAGTAATGAATACTCTACAGACATAACCGTTTTTATTGTCACTTTTCAGTCGTGTCCAACTCTTTGTGACCCTATTTTGAGTTTTCTTGGCAAAGAGACTGGAGTGTTTGCCATTCCCTTCCCCAGTCTATTTTACAGATGAGGAAACCGAAGCAAACAGGGTTAAGTGACTTGCCCCAAGGTCACACAACTAGTAAGTGTCTGAGGCCAAATTTGAACTCAGGAAGAGGTGTCTTCCTGACTCCAGGCCCGACACTCTATCCATGGCACCACCTAGCTGCACAGACGTAACAGAGAGGAACCTAATTTGTATTTCCCTCATTCCCCTGTGATGGGTTCAACAGATATAAGATTGAGAAAAAGCATAATCTAGATTAAAGAACATTCAAGTGGACCTGGACTGACTTAGCACATACAAGATGCCTGATATTCTACTCCAAAGATTCTTACCTATAATTTTCAGTACAGGAGCAGCTAGGTTGCACAGTGGATAGAAGTCAGGAGGACCTAAGTTTAAATCTGGCCTCAGACCAAACACTTGACGCTTACTAGCTGTGTGACCCTGGGACAAGTCACTTAACCCCAACTGCCTTAAAAAATATATATATATATATGTATATGTATATGTATATATATGTATATATATATATATGTAAAACTTTCAGTACAGGATCATCTTTATAAGTTAGTTCTCTATAAAGAACAAGGTACTACTACCAGAGAAACCATAAGCTCCATGAAGGCAGAGACAGAGCCTTATCAGAGTGTTGTAGCCTTCCCCTTTCCCTCACCCTGGGCCCATCCATGCCAGGCTCAGTGCTCTGTATACAAAAAATATACCCATATGACAGTGTACCCAAATGACAATAAATATTTGCTTAATTGGCTTTCAAAATTATAGTGTAGATTACTCAGGTTCTTTCAATCCAGAAAGTCGGTACATGAGCAAAGCACACAACAATGCCTGGGTTTGTGTTTAGTCTTTTGTCATCATTAAAATCTTCCAGTTTGGTGGTTCAGGCAAATATGAAGGGCTGGGAAACATCAGTTTCCCTGGCATATACATTATGGTACCATTTAAAATGGTGTTTGCTGAGAGATGTTCTAAGGCAGGCCTACCTTTCATCTTCCTCACTCTCCTTTGGATTTAGCTGTCAAAGAATGGATGAGAGCCTGTCAAAGCAGACAGGGTACATGGATGGTTCCTTTCCTCCCCTAGTAACAAGGCTTTTTTCTCCTTTTTCACTATACTTTAGGTATTTATTATTCTCCCTCCAAATTCAAAAGATATAGAAACATCAGTCAGCAGTGTAGAGAATAAATCTACTAACAGTGAAGAAAGGCTAGGGCACATGTTTAAGGATGGAAAATCCATTAAGTCAATTAATCAGTTACCTGCCACTTTATTTAAAGTGACAAGATGCTATGTGCTGATCCCTTCATTGGGTAAAAACAACCAATTATTAAGAGGTTTGACCTAGTGTGAACAAAGTCTAAATATCTTTATTCAATTAATTAGTCATAGGTTTTTACACAAACTTTTAAAATTATTATTTTGAAATTTTTTGACCTCTAATTTCAATACCCCGGGGCAAAGTCCCTATTATCTTGCCTAGTTACAGCTCTGTGAATAAGTTTCTGTGGGTACCATGGAAAGGATAAAAGCTAAAAACCCAAGATGAGTGGAAATGTAAGAAGAAATTCCCTTCAAAATAGGTCAAATCACAGAAACCTTACCTATATGAGGAAATTTTCCCTTTGGTAGAAAGTTCTTTCACTACTTTTTCCTTTGTGTACCCAATGTTTTGTAGTAAATAATGTTGCTTAATTAGGAACAGGAGCTCTGCCACTAGGAAACAATCTTCTTTATTCAACAAATCTTCATCCATGAACTTTTGAAACAGTTGGTGAGCTGACTTTATACCTTCAATGTTCTTAGGTGTGATCAAGTCACTACAGAGAAACTTAAGGGACTCTAGATCTTCAAGCTCCAGTTTTTCATCAATGGAGAGAAGCTTCTGGTGAAAATCAATATTGTTGTCGTCCTCCATATTGAGGCCAGATCTTGGCACTTAAAGGCAAAATAGTGACCTTCTGAAACAGCAAAAACAAAGAAGACTTTCTGATGTAAAACTTGTCCATCTCTTAGGAGAAAGATTAAATGCAGAGGAAGCCAGGGTCAACTGAATATTCCAGTCTCCAGAATTACCAGAATTATCAAAATTGCTTTGTGTTTTAATATATATATATAACTTATATGTATATAAACATATATATGTATGCACACACGTTTTACCTCCCTTGTCTCACCCAATAAAATGTAAGCTTCTTGTAGGCAGAAATGGATTCATCTTTGTCTGTGTATCCTCAGCACCTAGCATATAGTACATACTAAATAAATACCTGTTGTTTGATTCTAGTATGTTACTTGGTGGTTCTTTAAAAAAATCAATAAACAAAATAAAGGTTTAGTGATTTTTTTTAAGTAAATAAATTACTAGCTTCCCTTGCTCTCCATTCAGGGAACATTTCATATACCTTTCTTTCCTTGCCCACCAAAGACAGGGAGGAGACCCCATGAGATTTTCCCATGTTCACCAAAACATTAAACAAAGCTTTGTAGCCTACTATGTGGAAAAAGCACTATGCTACATGCTAAGGAAGATAATGTTGGTAAATGAGACTCATATATCACAATTCCTCTATAACTTAGTGAACAGAGAGCCTTCAAGGGTTACCAAGGCCGAAAATTTTTATAGTTGAGGAAATTGAGGTAAACAGACCCAAGTGATTTGCTCAAGGTCACACCACTTCTAAGTGTCTGATGCTATATTTGAATTCAGGTCTTCCTGACTCTAAGCTCAGTGCTCTATCCATTGCACCACCTAGCTGCATGAATGTGGTACATTGGAGAAATGCATATTTCCTCCACTGCCTCCTGTGACTGAAACAGTTCCAGTCTCTATCTATGATATAAACATGGTATTGAAACCTAAACCAAGGAAAAATAAAGCAGAGAAAGAAAACTACAGACCAATAACCCTGATGAATAATGACATAAAAATGTTAAATAAAATGTTAGCCAAGTAGGTTATGGCAACATATTAGAAAAATTATACATACTAGGTTGGGTTTATACTAGGAATGCAGTGTTGGTTCAACATAAGGAGAACAATACTTATAAAAAAGTTAATATAAAAATTTTAAAACTATGTGATTATATCAATTGATATTGAGGAGGTTTTTTGGTTTTTTGTTTTTGTTTTTTACAAAATCCAGCACCTATTTCTATAAAAACTCTACAAACCATATTAATAAATGGACCCTTCTTTAATATAGCAAATAATTACTGAAACTGAAGAGCAAGCATTATGTATAATGAAGAAAAGTTAGCCTTTCCAATAAGATTGGGGTAAAAGATACCCATTGACACCATTACTATTTAGCATAATATTAGAAATACTGTCTGTAGCCATAAGACAAAAAGAGAAATTGAAGAAATATGCATAAGCAGAGAGGAAACAATATTATCACTTTTTACAGATGAAATAATGATTTATTTAGAAAAAACCTTAAAGAGTCAGACAAAAATAAATTGAAACAAATTCGACAGTGTTTCAGGATATACAATAAATTCACATAAATCGTTAGCATTCCTATATGTTTGCAACAAAACTTAGGAGGAAGAGCTAGAAAGAGAAATTCCATTTAAAATAGCTATAATAACTATAAAATATTTGGGAATATATTTACCAAAATGCATCCAGGTACTATATGAATACAACTATAAAATTTTTTTTGGAGGGGGGCAGAAATAAAGGCACACCTAAATAATTAGAAAAATATCAATTGCTCATAAGTAGGTCAAGTTAATGTAATAAAAATAAGACTATCTACATTGATTCACATTTACAATTCTAGGCCAATCAAACTACCAAAGGAATATTTTATAGAGCTAGAAAAAAATAACAATGAACTTCATCTGGAGGAACAAAGAGTTAAGAATCTCAAGGGTAATAATGGAAAAAAAGTGGGAAGGAAGGAGGTCCATCAAAACCAGATCTCAAACCGTACTACAAAGCAGTATACTCTTTTCTCTCCTCTGATAGTGCCACCACTCATCACCTCATGCCTCAATTATTGTAATAGCCTGTTGGTGGGTCTGCCTGCTTCAAGTCTCTCCCCACTCCAATTCATTCTTTATTCAGCCACTGAAGTAATTTTTCTAAAACACAGGTCCAATCATGTCACCCACCCCCACTCAATAAACTCCAGTGGTATCCTATTGCCTCCAGGAGAAAATACAAAATGTCCTGTTAGGCATTCAAAGCTCTTCAGAACCTAGCCCTCTCCTACCTTTCTGGTCTTCTTATATCTTAATTCTCAACACATACTCTTCAATCCAGTGACACTGACTTCCTGGTTGTTCAATCAACAAGATAATCTATCTCTTGGTTCCAAACACTTTTACTGGCTGTCCTCCATACCTGGAATGCTATCCCTTTCCACTCTGACCAACTTGGCTTCTATTAAGTCCCAACTAAAATCCCACATTCTGCAGGAAACCTTCCCTTATCCCTCTTATAGTGTATTCCCTCTTCAAATTATTTCCTATTTTTCTTTTATAATATATATTCTTTTATTATTATATATTACTATTATGTGTGATAATATTATATATTATAATATATAATTCTTTTATTGTAAAATATAATTTTTATATGTATTTATTTGCATATTATATCCTCAGTAGATTATGAGCTCCTTGAGGGCAGGGACTATCTTTTGCCTCTTTTTGTATTCCTAGTGTTTTCAGCACAGTACCCAGCATGTAGTAGGTGCTTAATAAATGTTGATTGATTGATTAAAAGCATTTGGTACTAGATGAAAAAAATAGATGAATCATGGAACAGATTAGGTACAAAACATATGAAAATAGGTGAACCTACTATTCTAGCATTTGATAAACCTAAAGATTTCAGTTACTGAGGAAAGGACTCATTATTTGACAAAAACAACTGGGAAAATTGGACACCAGTCTGGCAGAAATCAGATTTAGATCAACACTTCACACCACACAACAAGATAAACTCTAAATGATGCAAAAGATTATGATATCATAAACAAATTAGAGCAGCAAAGAAGAAATTACTTTTCAGATATATAGATGGGGAAGAGTTTCTGACTAAACATGCAATAGAGAGAATTACATAAGATAAAATATGACTATAGAAAACTTTAAAGTTTTTGCGCAGGCAAATCTAATGTATTTAAATTAGAAGGGAAAGAAACAAATGGAGAAAAATCTTTGCAGCTAATTCCTTTGATAAAGATCTCATAGCTAAGAAAAATAAAGAAATTATTAAAATGTGCAAGACTAAGAATTGTTCTTATCCAAGAGGCAGTTTGGTGGTATAGTGGATAGAGTACTGGACCTGGAGTCAGGAAGACTTAATTTAAAATCTAGTTTCAGACACTTAGTAACTGAGTGACCCTGGGCAAGTCACCTTAACCTCTGCCTGTCTCAATTTCCTCATCTATAAAATAGGGATAATAATATTACCTACCTCCCAAGGTTATTGTGAGGCTCCATTGAGATATTATTTGTAAAATGCTTTGCAAAACTTAAGTGCTAGTTAATATTATTATTCCCCAACAGATAAATGATCAGAGGAATTTTGCAAAGAAAGAAATCTAAGCTATAAAAACAACTACATACAAAAAAAAAATCTCTAAATCACTATTATTGGAGACATGCAAAATAAGCAACTCTGAAGTTCTACCGAGACCAACAAAGGGAAGGGCTGTGCAAAAGCAGATATATTGGTGCACTGCTGGTGGAATTGTAAATTGATCTAGCCACTCTGGAAAGTAATTTGGAACTGCAATATGCCCCAAACTTTGCTAAACTGGTCTACTGGTCTACTAACTTTGCTACTAGGTCTACACATCATCGAGATCAAAGAAAGAGAAAACAGACCTCTGTACAAAATAGACATGTACAAAAATATTTATAGCAGCTCCTTTTGTAGTAGCCTAAAATTGGAAAGTGAAGGAGTGTCTTCCTATTGGCAAATGGCTAAATAAATTATAACATATGAATGTAACAGAATATTATTGTACCCTAAGAAATGATAAAATGACCCATTTCAGTGGAGATTTGAAAGACTTCTATGAATTCTTGCAGAGTGAAATGAGCAGAATTATGATAACAATCTATACAAGAACATTATAGGAAAAAAAACAACTTTGAGAGACTTTTTATAACTCTGATCAGTATAAGAAAGAACCAGGATTCCAGAAGACTAAAAATGAAACACACCACTCATATCCTTACAGAGAGGTAACAAATTTAAAATTCAAAGAGATATACATTATTAGGCACGGGAGAATTGGGAAAAGAAGAAAATTAATATGATGCAAAAAAAAAGGGCTGGGGAAGAAAAAGTAAACACTCTTTAGATGAGATGAAAAATACCATGGTTATCAAATTAACAGGACTTGATAGCTGAATGAATGAAAAAAAAATGAAAAAGTACTTATTAAGCACTTACTATGAGCCAAGCATTAGCCTCAGCTATAGGTATATAAATAGAAAAGTAAGACAATCTCTGCTCTCCAGGAATTCACATTCTAATCAGGGAAAACAACACTATTATCAAAGGGTTCAGCCATAGGGAAGATGGAAAGATTTGGTGGCCCTTAAGGTGCAGCATCAGGATAAATGACAATGGCTATGGATCTGGAGGGCCCAGGGGAAGGTCCAGAGTCCTTGTTTCTTACTGTAAGGATTGAAGTTGGCTATTTTCTGCTTGTCAAAACTGATGATTACAAGAGATTACAAACATGGGACACTGGGTAAGAGGTCCAGAAGGCTCAAGCATCAGTCTTTCAAGAAGTTACCCCAATAGAAACTTCTTTTCCCAGTGCAAAAGAATTACTATCACAATAATTGAGGTCAATCTTAGCAAACAGCTTCCAAGCTTTGTGAAACAGGAGCGTACATGGGAAATACAGGAAATCACCCCACCCAGAGAGTGAGTCTCAGTTATTTCCTCTATTCTGCATATTTGGGGTGTGACATCCTTCTTGGATGGTCATTTTCCCATTTACTGAGTCATTACTTTTATACACAGAGAGAGCAAAAGAAGATTACACCAAATGAATTACTTTGGCAATTAGAAAACACCTACTTCCTTTCTATAAAAACGGTAAGGGGAGGGGACTATTGTATATATTTGCAGACTTGGTCACTGGGTGCTTACCTAACTGTGTGGTTTTGTTAAAATGTTTCTTTGTTAAAAGGGAAGAATCACTGGTGGTAGTGGCAGAATGAGTTAAAAACAGAGCTGCAAATGATGATGTAAAAACAAAAAGCATCAGAACTAGGAGAAAAATTTATATAATGATAGTGTAAATATTTATGGCAGGTCTTTTTGAAGTAGAAAAAAACTAGATATTAAGGGCATGCCTATTAACTAGTAAATGGTTAAACAAATTATGGTATATGAAAGTAATAGAATAATAATATGCCAAAAGAAATGGCAAAAAGGACAGTTTCTGAAAGACCTGAGAGACTTGTGTGAACTGAGGAAGAGTGAAGCAAGCAGATCTAAGGGAACAATTCTTATAATAACATAATTATAAAATTATAATTTAATTTTTTCATTCAACAAAAAAATCTGTTTTTCTCCCTTTCACCCCCTTATTAAAAAAAAAGAAAAGAAAAACAAAGCCCTTTTAACAAATTTGCATAATTAAGCAAAACAAATATGGTATTAGCCATATCCAAAAAAAATAATTGTAGCATTCCATATCGTGAGCCCATCACCTCCCTGTCAAAAGATGGGTAGGTTTAGTCCTCTGAAATCAATATTGGTTATAGTTTTCAAAGATAATTATGAAGGACTTACGCACTCAGATCAGTATAGTGACAACAATGAGACATGTTACTCACTTCTTGATAGGGAGGTGATAGATGCATGGTATGGAATGAAACCTATATTTTTGGACATAGCCAACTTGGGAATTTGTTTTGCTTGACTATGTTTGTTACAGGGGTCTTGTTTGTCTGTTTGTTTGTTTTTTTCTGGGAAGGGGAGGAGGAAGAGAGAGAAAATTAAAATATGTTTGTTAATTGAAAAAAGTAAAAGTTTAAAAAACCTGAAGAGGAGTATCAATAAAACTTATTTTAAAAATAAAATAGCACATGACATTACTGCTCTTAGCAGAACCTAGGTGGATATTTGTCAGATACAAAAACACAAAGTAGAGTAATAGAGTGGAAAGAGCCTTGGCTCTGAAATCAGGAGGAGGTCAGGGTTTAACTCTCTCCTTTGGTACTCTACCATGTACAAGTCATTGAGCATTCCTCAGCCTGAGTTTTCTCATCTGTAAAATAAGTAGGTTGCACTAGATGGCTTCTGAGGTTTCTTCCAGTCTAGCTCTAAAACCTTGACATAGCAGAACTGAGAGATCCTACCTGAGGATAATTCTTTTGTTTTCCTACAAGCTAACAACTAGACCAGCAGAGCCAGCAGAGTTCTGAGCCTATGTGCCAAGGAACACTGGAGCAAGGAACACTAGAAACCATAAGCCCACCAAGCATTTTGATCCTTATTTATCTCTAACAACACATATATCATGACTCAGAAATAATAAATTAGTAAACTTACCTTCTAAATTGCATGCATATGTATTACTCTTTTCCAGATGCCTTTCAGGTGCTTTCGTGACTAGTAAAAATACAAATTCATTTAAAAAACATTGATGAATTCATAGGAGCTTTTTCATATGCATTTTCTCAGTCAATGGATATTAATAGTATACCTCCTGTGATATGGGCACAAATGACTTTGACTTTAAAAAAAGGGGTCCTCCTCCTCGAAAAGATTAGGAATCACTGAAGCAGAGCATCTGAGTGATGCAGTTGCAAGGGGTCTTTTCAGGTACTAGATGGAAATACATAGACTAGACCACAGCTGGGTCATGGATCTTCCAAGTAGAAGAGCATTAAGGGCAGAAGAAGCTCAGGATAAAAAGTCTGGAGTTAGTGCTAAAGACCATGCGTTACATATAACAATAAGATTAAGCTCACTAACAACTTTTAGGACATGCCAACCAAGGGTGTGGATATGTGTTGCCATGGCCACCAAATAAGGGAAGTGGTCACTAGACTAGCTACTAAACAGAAGAAGGTCTGGATTTATGATGAATATTTTCTAAATTCAAAGCACTTAAACTTGCCTCTTTGTTAATGCTGTAAGAGGTATGGGTGTGAAGGATGGAGAACCAGGAAGTAATATCAGAGAAAAGCCCCTCGAAAGAGGTTTTATTTCAGGAAAGAGAAATTATCCAGGTATTTTGTAAATTTGTACCTAGTAAAAAGAGAGCATAGGCAGAACACAGCTAATGTTCCCTTCTGAAATTTGCTAAATTAGTCTGATAATCGAAAGAAGCATTACTAGCATTACTATTTCTAATTCAAAGCTAAATCATGCATGCCAACCTCACCCATTCTAATTGATTAATTCTAAAACATCACAGCTTGAAAGGACTTCAGAGATTTAATCCAGGGCAGCTAGGTAGTAAGGTGGGTAGAGTTAGGAGGACTTGAGTTTAAATCTGGCCTCAGACATGTACTCAGTTACTAGCTGTGTGACCCTAGGCAAGTCACTTAACCCCAACTGCCAGAGAGAGAGAGAGAGAGAGAAAGAAAGAGAGAGAGAGAGATCTAATCTAAATCCTCCATTTTACAGAAGGCAGAATACAGATGAATGAAGAAATTTGTCCAAAATAAGACTTTCCATGCAGTGGAAAGGGCCCTGAATCTGTAATAAGAATGTCTGGGTTCAATTCTAGCTCTACCAATGAATTTCTTGTATTTGTGACATTGGAAAGACCCCTTTTGGAAATACCTGTAATGAAGGGGCAGTTAGGTGGATCAGTGAATAGAGCACCGGCCCTGAAGTCATGAGAACCTGAGTTCAAATCTGACCTCAGACCAAACACTTGACACTTACTAGTTGTGTGACCCTGGGCAAGTCACTTAACCCCAATTGCCTAAAAAACAAACAAACCTGTAGTGATAAAGTCAAAATGGGTTCATGATGTAGATATAAAGGCTGATACTGTAAGCAAACTGGGAGAGCAAGGAATAGTTTACCTATCAGATTTATGGAGAACAGAAAAATTCATGACAAAACAGGAGATAGAGAACATTACGTAAAGCAAAATGTATAACTTTGATTACACTAAATTGAAAAGTTTTTGTACAAACAAAGCCAATGCAACCAAGATTAGAAGGAAAGTAGAAAACTGGGAAAGAATTTTTACAACCAGTCTCTCTGATAAGGGCCTCCTTTCTAAAATGCATAGAGAATTAAGTCAAATTTATAAGAATACAAGTCATTCCCCAATTGATAAATGGTTAAAGGTTATGAACAGGCAGTTCTCAGAGGAAGAAATTAAAGCCATCTATAGTCATATGAAAAAATGCTCTAAATCACTCTTGATTAGAGAAATGCAAATCAAAACAACTCTGAGGTACCACATCACACCTATCAGATTAGCCAAGATGACAAAACAAGAAAATGATAAATGTTGGAGAAGATGTGGGAAAATTGGAACACTAATGCATTGTTCGTGGAGTTGTGAAATGATCCAACCAATATGGAGAGCAATTTGGAACTATGTCCAAAGGGCTATCAAAATGTATATACCCTTTGACCCAGCAATAGCATTTCTAGGGCTCTATCCCAAAGAGATCATGCAAATGGGAAAAGGACCCATATGTACAAAAATATTTATAGCAGCTCTTTTTGTGGTGGCAAAGAGTTGGAAATTGAGAGGATGCCCATCAACTGGGGGATGGCTGAACAAGTTGTGGTATATGAATGTAATGGAATACTGTTGTGCTATAAGAAATGATGAACAGCTGATTTCAGAAAAACCTGGAAAGACTTGTATGGTCTGATGCTGAGTGAAGTGAGCAGAACCAGGAGAACATCATACACAACAACAGCAATGACTAAGATTGATAAACTTAACCCTTTCCATCAATACAAAAATCTAAGACATCACGAAAGGCCTCGTGATGGAAAATGCTATCCACATCCAAAGAAAGAACTATGGAGTTTGAATGCAGACAGAAGCAAACCATTTGCTATTTTTTTCTTCTGTTAAGTTTTGTTTCCTCTTTCAGGTGGTTCCTCCTATTGGTTCTAATTCTTATTTATAACATCACTAATGTGAAAATATGTTTAATAGGAATGTATGTGTATAACCTATATAAGATTACATGCCATCTTGGGAAGGGTGGTAGGCAGAAAGGGGGAGAAAATTTTTAAACTCAAAAGCATATGGAAGTGATTATTGATAAATCAAAATAAATTAATTAAAAAATTAATTAAAAAAAATACCTGTAGTGAAAAGGGTGCTGGACTGAGCCAGAAGTTACAACTTAATGGTTGCAGGAATAAAGCAATGAATTTATTCCCTTCAATTTTCTCAGGCTTCAGTTCTGTTATATGTAAAATAAGATTGGATTAAGTAAATGACCTGCAAGGTCCTTTCCAGCTCTAAATTCATATGAAACACAACTATCTACTCAAAAAGTGAGGTCTAGAATGCCCAACTCCTGGTTGTCCTGACCCCTACACCAAGCCAAGTATCTAAAAAAGGACACTTTGGAATATAACAACTCAAAGACTGCTGCTACTAAATAATTTGATTCATGAAAGCCGCCAGCTATTGCCTGGAGTATAAACCATGGAATTACTTTCAATGTTTCACCTATTTGTTCCAATTTAAGATTTGCTATCATTCAGTTTACCTAGGCTCAAGGTTTTAGTACTCACCCCCATGCAAAATAGGGAGATTGGACACTCAACAACATGTAAAACGATGATTTGGTTAAGAGAAAGAGATCAAACCCAGTGAACATTTTAGTAAATTATGTGCCAAGAAAAAAACAAACAAACAATACAGTATGCATAAAATTTTTCAACCCTAATTAAGCAGCCACATTCCTCTGTGCACATACCTTATTTACTGAATCTACTTGGAGTGGTGCTCCAGTCCTAAATTCCAAGATCATTCCTATTGAACAGCACAAGTATCCATTGCAATCCTTTTATATTTACAGTTCCAAAACAAGGTGCTTTGGGCTTTAAGCCTCTGAGACTGCAGGTATCCTCTCTGTGAAGACGTGGGAACTGAACCAGAAACAGACAGGAAAGATAGTGAGAAGCTGTCACTGTTTCAGAATTCAATGCCAACTAGGAAAATCCTACTGCTAAATGCCTGTTAGAGAGCCAACTGGTAACGGAGGGTCAAGCAGAGGCCTGTTTCTTGGATGAATATTTCCTCTTTCAAAGCAGACATTTTCTTCTCACTCCTGCCATGCCAGGACTCCTCTCCATGAATACAGATCGTTGGGGTGTGGCCTTATGGAGTATTACGCTTGACTTCTATGTTTCAGAGCTTTTCTTTTGCCAATAAGAGCAAAGGGCTAGGACTTACTTATTAACTTAAGAGCCCTGATATTTTTCTACAAAAAAGCTGAGTCAGAAACCTTTTTGTTTTTACTTTCATTTTTCTGTACCCTGAAACAGAAACTATGAAATACTAGAAGGAACTTTAAAATGACACAAATGATAAATTCACTGAAACCAAATAAAGTCAGCAAAGAAAGAAAGGAAATTGCAAAGTAGAGAATCCCAGCCAGCTAAATATGAAGTAAATGTAGTTTTGGAAAAGACGGATGTGACATGTCTTGGAATCAAAGTGTTCCATTTGATAAGACTCATGGTGAGGTGAAAAGGAAGCAGTTTTTGCTTCACCCCTGATTAGAGTCTCTTCCAGGTGTGTCCTGTTTATGACTCTAACTTTCCAATCCCCTACTTCAACCTGCCTCCTTTTATACATGCTTTAACTAAAATAATCCATTTGACATGATTAATTCTTGATGAGTACCCTTAAAAAGAAGTTTGAAATGGAACTAAAATCTTTTAAGAATTCAGACAAGGGCCGCATGATATTTCAAACAGGCAGGAGAAAAGAACTCCAAACAATACTAATATTAAGCATTTATATATGTATATAAACATATTTGTGATGTGTGTACATATATGTGTGTATGGATGTTTTATATATATATATATATATATACACATGCATGCATATATACTTTATGTATGTTAACTCATTTGATCTGCGCAACAGCCCTGTGAGGTCAGAGCTAATATTATTCCCATTTTGCAGATGAAGAAACCGAGGTACAGAGAGGTTATGTGACTTGCCCAGGGTCAAGCAACTAGTAAGGGGCTTGAGGTCATCCTGACTTTCAAGTTCTGTGCTCCAGAAATATCAAATGCCAAAAGCAAAACTCCCTAGCAGGAATCAGATTCAAACATAATTGGGAAATGTTTAATAAAATAAATAAAAATAAAATGCAACATAGAAAATGTTCATTTGTAGTTTTCTAAGTCAATATGTGCCCTGCAGGGAATCTGTTTCTATTTGGGTCAGACACCACTGCTGCGCTCTATCCATGGTACCACCTAGCTGCTTCTAAGCTAGATTCGTAATATTTTTTTCCCTCTTCTTGGCCCTTTCAATTTGCTACTGACAACGAATAATTATTAAACACTTACTAAGCACTGTGCTAATCAATAAGGATACATATATAAGCAAAAAGAAAGACACTGGGAGCTTCCATTGTCTTGGAAGAACATAACACATGAAAGAGAGCTGAAAAGTGCAACGGCAGAGATACCCCCGGCGCAGGGAGAGGATGGCAAAATCTGGAGAGTCTAAAACCCGAACTGAGACAGGAATGAATAACTAGCCTGGGCTAGTCCCCCAAATGGAAGCGAAGGAATTCACCAATGGAAGAAGAGGGCTGCAGGGGAGGAGGGATATTTCAAGGTGAGAAGACCATTAGTGCAGAACTAAGTAACTGGGTAAAAAGACACCTGAACCTTGGATGGTGACGTCCAGAGAGTCAGAAGCAGAGCCAGGAGAGGAATGGGAGGTGGAGAAGTGTCACTCCCTTTCCCCATTTGACTCCAGGCTACACTCTGGACTTTGTCCACCATGCCCCAGTTCTGAAGCCTCATTTCCAGCCCCAGAATTCACACATCAAAGGACCCTCAGCTCTGCATCCTCTCCCTCTGATTGGATGGCTCTCCCAGAACCTCCACTTGAGGACAGCATCCAGGCCAGCCATGTTTCATTCCACTGCCGGCTGTGCTCTATTTTCCTCTTCCGTTTCGCTTCTTAGAAGAGTACCTTTGCACTTTACACCCAGAATGTAAGTTTGGCGAGGGCAGAGGAACTGGCTTTCTTTCTGCTTATATTTATATTCCTAGCATTTAGCACAGTGCTTGACATATAGTAAAAGCTTAATAAATGCAAGTTGACTGACAAGAGTATTAATGAGCCTACTGGGTACCAGAAGGCACAAGAAGCTAAAAGTAGAAAGTCAAGGAAAACCAAACCTATCCTTAAAGAGAGACAGCAGCCTTCCTGTTAAGCCTTCTGTAAGATTCCGTACCATTGGAGACGTTAACAAGTGGTCAGTATTATTTGTCTGAAACTAATTTCTTCAAATTAATACTAATAAGAGAATAATGCCTTTCTTTTATTAGTTCTAATTAATGAGCCTCTCCTGGAATGTTGACACCTTGAGGCAGTGAGCTGCCTGCTTGTAAAAACACATATCTAGAACACCCTTAGAAATTAAATATGTGATAATGACCACAAACTCCCACAGGCTATTTTGTATCTTCATCATGTGTGTGGAGAAGTTATAATGGCTCTCCCTGGGGGGACCCACTCAGGATGTGGATTCTCTATTCCTTCTTCCAAACTAGCCCAGGGCTTACCCGGTGGTCCCTTGAACCAAAATGCAGAGGAGTGAGAAAAGAAACCGATTCATTAAGATAAACTGTGGTCACAAGTGTCAAAATGGCTTCCTCTCTACTCCTTCATTTTCACAAAACTAGCTAAGTCTAGTTGCTAGGTAATAATGATGAAATGGTTGAGTGTTGGCAAGATACTGTAGAGAAGAATCAAACTGGTTTTCCTTTTCTCTATCCTCCACAATCCTCACGTCCCACACCTTCCTTTCTTTTCCTTCTTCCTGAGTGTCACACCTTGCTTACACATTAAAACCTTATCTGGCGAGCATGTCACACATGTGTGTGACTGCATTCTGTGACTACTATACACTAATCGGGTTGGGGGAGCAGGGAAGGAGGAAGGAAGTAAATGGCCCCTCTATTATACCTACAAACACAGACAGCTTCCACCCCCAGCACCAAACATACCCATGTGTCCATACCCCACATAAATGACTTACCTCATCTCCAAAAAGATTCCTGTACTCAAGAACTTAGAGCCAACTTTTTCTTTGCCTTAGGGAAGGAGCAGTTTTGCTCGCTCCTTTCATTTTCCTGTTTTTGTTTTTGCTCTTTTCTGCCCACTTCGAGAGCCTTACCTGCCCTGCACTGCCCCCAACTGGTTCCAATCTTCACATAGGAAAACAGTGCTTTCTGCAAGGGAAGATGCTGGATATTTCAGGTGTAGAACCAGGAGATGGGGCCAGGCAGCACCTGTGTTCTTACAGCCCCTCTGACATGGATTATCCTCAACTTTCTTATCTTTGCCAGTTTGTTGTATGTGAGGTGAAATTTGAGACTTGTTTTGCTTTGCATTTTTCTTATTACTGATTTGGAACAATCTTTCACGTGGTTGTTAATAGTTTCTTTTGAAATTAATTGTTCAATTTATTTGTTTATTTGCTCAACATTTATTTATTTGTTCAAGATTCTTTTGAAAATTATTTGTTTATAGCCTTTATCCATTAAGGAATTGTTCTTAATCTTATAATAATAATTATTATTATTATTAGTTAACACTCTACATACCCTGCTGTTAGGATTATTCCATGCAAAGATTTTCACCAGTCAACTGATTCCCTTCTCAAACTAACTGCATTAATTTTTTTCATGTAAAAGCCTTTTAATTTAATGAAATCAAGTTATCTATTTAAGGAGTCAACTATGTTCGAGGACCAAATCTAGCCACTGGCCTGAAAAGCTAAGAACAGTTTGGTTTTTTTTAACATTAAAAAAATTTTAAATACAAGTTTATTTAAAAATGTAACTCTATTTAAGATTGCATTTAAAGTGTGAATTTTGTTTTTAAATGTTTAGAAATTTTTAAAGTTTATATAAAAATTTAAAAACAACTTTATTTTAAAATGTAACTTTATTAAAACTTACATTTAAAACATAAACCTTATTCAAAAATGAAAAACCATTCATATCTCACTATGCCATATAAAAAACAGGTGGTGGCTATATTTGACCCTTGGCCCATAGTTTGCTGACCTCCTGGATCTATTGTATCTTCTGTGATTTGCTTCATCCTTTATTTGGTTGGGAATTTTCTGCCTAGTCATAATTGTAAAAGATACAGCCATCTGGTTCTACCACCACTCCACCCCACCTTTTTTCTGGTGTGATATTTTATATTAATGTGAGGGTCCATTTGGAAGTTATTGGTGCTTCATGTAATAGTATCACCAATCCAGAACTAGAAGGAACCTAAGAATTCATGTTCTCTAACTCCCTAATTTTGCAGATGAAGAAACTTCCTCTCAGAGAGGTTAAGCAACTTACCCAAGGTCACACAGGCACAACTAGAATTTCCAGGGAAATAATGGGAGGAAAATAAGATGTTGAAATGACAAGTCCATTTTTTTCTTCCTTTCCTGATTTCTTTTACTTTTTTTTTTTGTTGGCCTTTCTTATGCATCTATGTAAGGCAAACTTTTCCCAGGCTTTCAGCCTGGATCAATTCTGTGTTCAAATCCTATTCTCTAAAGCAGGAGTTCTTGATTTTGGTGGGGGTCATGGGATTCTTTGGCAGTCTAGTGAAGCTCATGGACCCTTTCTCAGAACAATGATTTTAAATGAATAGAATAAAACACATAGGACTACAAAGGAAACCAATTATAATGAAATACAGTTATCAAAGTGATGAGGAAAAGAAGAGGAAATTGACTCTTCTCCCACCCAACTCTAGAGATACACCTCAAAACAGACCTCACACTTTACAACCAGAAAGGAAGAGAGAGGCAGAGAGATCAGTAGCCCAATTTTGTATACCCCTGTATCCAGGTCACTATTCCATATCTAGTATAAAGGATCATACAGAATACAAGACTTCAAACAAGCAATCATTCTACTAAAATCATATTCCAGGACCCTCAGGTGAAAGCAGCTCCCATCAACAAGATAAAAACCTCTGCAAAAAGGAAACAGTTGGCAAAAAAGTTCCTTAGGATCTTATGCACTTTCCCCCAAAACCTGAAGAACTACATTTATAAATCTCTTGGCCAAAATTCCCACAGCTGGATCCCAGTTCATTCCATCTTTGGGCAATGCTAACTCTAACTGCCCAGGTCTACACCATAACATTCTTGCTTGCAAAAGTCCAGGCTGTGTAACGGGGAGGACTGACTCACACCTCC